GATTTGCACGATGAGAACGTGGACTGCAACGTGTGACCTCCTTTTAAGGCACTGCCAGTGCTTAAAAGGACGTCACATATGATTGCCAGTGCCTTATTGACGTAACACGTCCACGTCCACGTCCACGTCCACGCAAATCTAAAAGTCCCTTTTGAGGAGAAGAGGAAGACCAAAATGTCGTGGAATCAGGGGCGGCGATTTCTGTTAATGACCGGGGGGGACGAAATGCGATTTTTTTTTTTTACGAGGATGTTATGCGAGGGAGCGTAGCGACCGAGCGAGATTTTGTTTGCAATTTGATTAGTCTAAACGCTGCACTCTTGGGCCTTCCAGAGCCTAAAAGTGTGTTGCAGTCATTATTCAGTATATGCTATACAATTTGTTTTGCACTTTTTCAAATTTCCAGGGGGGACGATTCCCCCCTAAAAAAAATTGAGGGGGGGGGACATGTACCCCCCCCCGTCCCCCCCCCCCCCCCCCCCCGCCCGGATCCCCGCCCCTGCGTGGAATGATATGAAAACATGGGCAGATCTACGGCGGGGGGGGGGGGGGTAGGGGGTTTTACCCCCTCCTCCCACCCCCCCCCCCCCTGGCCCCCTTGGGCTGCCAAGTGAAAATGTGATATTAAAGCGGGTGGGAGGGGGATTCTGGAGAGGAGGACTACTAATCTATTTTATTTTTTTCAGGGGGCGGGGGGAAGTGAAGCGCCGTTTTAGCATGACTTTCTTTTTAACTCTTACTTTCACCTATCTCAGATAACCCTAAGTTTTTGGTTGCTGCTTTATATGTAGTTGATAATGCATGATTAAAATAAAGAGAGAGAGAGAGAGAGAGAACCACCATCATTTTGCAATGGTTCAGGGTTCGTGTAATGTACATTTGAAACCATTTCTTAGCGTCTCAATCCTAAAAAAATAGCAAAACTATTTTTGAGGAAAAGCATTATACTGAATTAAATAAAGAATAATAGCTTTATATTGGATCATACTAATACTAATACGGGCTAAAGAGGTATTCCAAAATGACATTCTGATAATCAAAATTTGTTCTAGTATCATATGTATATACGCATAATACAACTGATCTTTATGATTTCTTAACGTGACATAGCTTCTTCTCCCTCTGCAAACAAAACAGAAAACAAGTTTATTTAATAAAAGGGCCATGCGACAAATAATCATTGTGATTCAAATTGATGCAAGGATTTTTTTGAATATGCAATGCTTTTTACCAGAATCTTCTTTGTAAAAACGACTTTTACAAATCTCAGCCATCCAATTCTGCCACTGTGCTGTAAGATCACTTTGAGATTAGGAGAAGTGTATTATGTAATGGGTATTTTAAATTGAATGGAACGTCTCAACTCAGTAAGCATGGCTGAGATTTGTAAAAGTTGTTTTTACAAAAATGATTCCGGTGAATAATAGTGCTTATTCAAACAAATATTCGCATCAATTTGAATCACAATCATTATTTGTCGCTTAATCCCATTTAATGACCATGTTTTCTTTTTCGTTTGCAAGGGGAGAAGAAGATATGTCACGTTAAAGATATCATAAAGATCAGTGTTGTATGCGTATATATTATATACACAGGCCAGTAACAGCTATGTAGCTTGTAAATTTGTAAGAGGGAAAATGCTGATTGAAATGATAATGATGAAATAGCAAATAATTGAGGAGTATCATAGGTACCAATTCAATGGATATTTGTATTTAGAGCCCCCGTCAGTAATAAAAGAGCCCCCGTGAGAAGGCTCACGGGGGCTCTTTTTTCGGGGGAAGAGCCCCCGTGGACAAAAAATTAATTTGAGCCCTGGTTTCATTCCAACGCCATTTAAAAGATAATACTAATTTAGAACTACCCTTAAAAAGGGGGGCTTGAAAATATCTTTAAGTGGGAAAATAACGACTATTAGTTGTCGAATCGACTTAAGAGCTATAGAGCTAGTAAGTAATTGTCTGATGTTCGGACCATTGTACCGAATGGTCGTACGTTTTGTCCTGCGCAAAGATTCAATCAGTTAAATTTTTGGCTATTACAAGAAGTGAGTTATTGATGTAGACAAATGTTCATGTACCCTTTACAGCTAATTTTATGTATGTTATTACCAAAGACGAAAAAAAAATCTAGTCAGCCACTCAATAGTGTCTGACAGTGAAGTCTAGCAAGTAAACGGGTTTCCTTCCATAATTTGAATAATAGGATACTGCTAAGTTTAAATTTCACAGATAGAACATACATGACATATTCATAATTTCTACAAAGTTCTACAGACTTTGATGTTGGCTGTAAAAAGGACATAGTGTCTTTAAAGAACAGTTCTACACATGATACTTCACAGTAAACACATATTCTGACCAGCCTCGTTATTTGATTTCATTTTAGAATCTAAACCATTTACCCCCGAAACGGGGTAACACTCATTTTAACATTGTTATTATTATTGTTATCATTATGTGCAGTCTTCTTCTTGTTATTATTATAATAAATATGTTATGCAATACGTCATGTGCCCAGAATCTATTGCTATAATACATCCAAGATGTCTACCAAAACTCTTCATTCGTTGCTGAAATGTTATCAGGAGAAAAGAAGAAATAGTACAATACTTGTTTTGAATTGAAATAAAATAAAACATAAAGCCACAAATAAGTTGAGAATTTGATCATGCCAATACACAATATGTCATAAATTATTGTATTTAAGTATACCCTTATTTGCTTCTGGTTCGAGTTTTGCTTTGTCATTTTGTTCTGAACGAACATGGACAAAATGAACTTGTTAACAATTTGATGAAGAAAAAAGAAGTTTGCATAATGATAATTTCATATGATTACTTTCTGTTTTCTATGACCGTCGCCAACGGGTATAATGATCTGTCTGGTTGCCATAGCGTAGGTGATGGATGTGAGCGCCGGGCTGTCATAATGAAAACGAATCAAGGATTATTGGAATGTGTAAGGGAATATAATGTTTTCAACAACATGAAGCACATAATAAGAATCTAAAAACTTCAGATGTCTGTTTGATTACGATTAAAATTTGAGTCATTTCAAGTAACAAAATAAGACCGTTGCCGTATAAACGAAATGTTAAAGAAGTTGTTATTTTGTTAACCACGCCCCTCAAAAAAATGAGAATAAATGATCCAAAGGAACATTAAAATATGAATTTCAAATAATATGAAATTGGAAAAGAAGTCAGTAGAAAATACAATCATAACAATAGACAATATGTCATAAATCAATGTCTTTATTAAAGTTAACCTTTATTCGCATCTGGCTCGTGTTTTGCTTGGATATTTGGTACCGGAGGATTAACGTGGAAAAATGCATTTAATTACACGACCGCATTATCCCTTCTTCGTTTTCTGACCGCTTTCAAGACATTATCCAGTTTGTCGATCATGCTTTGATGTAGCTTGGTATCTCATGGTAATGTTAAAGGAAGGCAATCTCAGGAACGATTTTTGAATTTCAGCGACAATCTTTCGCAATTGCTGCTCTTTAATACTATTATGACATGCAGTAACAAATTGAATTTTCAGAACTTATGATAAGTTCGTTTAACAGTTGGTTCTACTAGGTTGATTCTATTGCTTCGGATTATTTAGCAGAGAGAAAAAGAAGTTTACATTTTCATGACAAACGACCTTGCATTATTATTCGTATTTGTTCATCGTCTGTACACTGCTAGTTGAACAGTATTAGATGACAATACACGACACTCTGATACTATTTCATGTAGCGTTACATTTTAATCACATGGTCGATAAAATAATGATCATCAGCACCGAGTCTTATAATTTAAAGAACTAGATGGAACGTCGACTGCGCGCAGTCGAAAATGATGCCTCCGTCATAGAGCAATTTTACAAACCTTGTAACCCCAAAATCTAATCAATTCATCGGCTCTGCAAGATACATACATGACCAAAGTTTGGCAGGAATCCATCAATCGGTTCTTCAGATAACGCGATCACGAGAACCCGACGTACATACAGACGGCCGGACGGACGGACAACCCGAAAACATAATGCCTCCGGCTACTTCGTAACGGAGGCATAAAAATGAATTCGAACCCGGGCTATGGTCTCTCTATTTCTTTTGTCGTTGCCTTCATTTTCCCTTTCTCATTTCCTTCTTACCACGGAGTATAATAATGTGCATGTGTATGCCTCCATTCGATCATAGCGAAAATAAAAACTGATATCGCTAAAATAATTCTTCTCATTTCCTCTTTTCATAAATTTGTATTTGTACTTATAGTTTTTTAGCGCTCCTAAACATTCGAAATTATTTATCATTATTACAATCACTAAAAATAAACTTGAGTTCTGGTAAAAAAAGAAATGAATTCTCACAGAATCAAACGAAACTAACACTGAATGTTCAACATTACAAATAAATGTCATTTGCCAAACAATTTTGGTAGAAAATGTATACTGGCTGAGTAATGAGCATAGAAAGATAAGACAATCAAGGTAGGCCCGGCCGTAGTCCCGTATGCTTCTTTCTGTGTACATTGCTTGTTTATACTTACCAAGACTGAGCCAAATTCATTATGAACTTGATGACTCCAGAACCCTCCAGAACATTGCAGTACACACCAATACTTACATGCTACATAATCAACTCCATTCCACACCTTTTGTTTCACAATGCAATTGAATGACCAGAACTCAACTTTATCTTTAAAAGTATTTCTATCATTGTTTTAATTTTGCATATCTGACAGGTTTAATGCACACTGAATAATGGTCACCTTCCAGACTTCGTGCGCTATGAGTTGATGAAAACTCCCAACATATGAAATCTTGAACCAACTCTTTACCAATTTGGACTGTATTTGATTTGCGATGGCTTTCTGTAGAAACGTCTGTTCAAGGATCACCCGAAGGAAACCTCTTTACAGCGATGAAAAGCTCTTTGAGACGCCCTTGAAACGGTCTCTGGGCACCTTCCAGCTCTGCATCATGGGTATCATCATGTATTCTGGAATACGTCATCACCGCTGCAGCCTTGGCATCGTCAATAACGGGCTACATGGACAACCTGACAGGGTACGCCTTCAGGAACTTTACTGTAGAAGTCTTAATGGACGGTCAGTTGTGGGATGTTCCTTTTATAGCACCATATCCGAATGTATTCGCTCCTGTCGCGGTAATTGTGGTCACTCTGTTTGTGATTATGGGAGCTGATGTATCATCGTGGGTCACCGCCATCTGCATGACCGTAAACTTTGGCGTCATCGCCGTAATCGTCGTCATGGGTTTCATGAATGCTGATATCAGCAACTGGGAAGACTACGGCGGGTTTGTTCCGTACGGAACTTCGGGCGTGATCGCCGGGGCGGCCACGCTCTTCTTCTCGTTCGTCGGTTTCGACGCCATAGCGATGGCCAACGAGGAGACGGTGAACCCTAGGCAGAGTATCCCGAGGGCTACCGTTATAGCTATCCTGTTCACCGCCATCTGCTACATCCTTGCATCCGCTGTCCTCACCCTGGTCGTGCCCTACACGGAGCTGGATGAACTGTCGGCGTTCGCCAGTGTCTTCCAGGCACGTGGGATCGAGTGGGCGAGGTGGGTGGTGGGTGTGGGTGCTCTTTGTGCCATGTTTTCAGCCCTTGCGATGAATCTCTACTGCACCCCAAGATCAATATACGCCATGGCATCCGACGGTCTGCTCTTTAGTTGCCTCAGCACTGTCAATAGCTATTTCCGTGTCCCAATTTATGCCACTCTATTCGCTATGTTTTTTGTGACCATACCCGCTACGTTCGTTCCTCTACCCGAACTTGTTGAATTCATCTCCATCGGTGTGCTCTTTGGATACGCCTTTGTAGCAGGTGCCATGATCCTGCTCCGGTACGGACCAGATATCCTGAGAGAAGATTCTGAGGACGGACTGGAAATGCCCTCCTTGGGACAACAAGCTCCGGACGCTACTAACCAACAGCCCGTTGATGATAATTCCGCGCTCTTGGACACCACATCCGCAGACACTCCTGGGGCCCTGAAACATCGGTTTCGTTCAACGCCTCTCCTACGCGAACTCGGGCGCTTTGACCCAGGGTCGACTGTCATGGTCAGCCTCCTATGTTCGGTGTTCTTCACATTCTGCACCTTAGCCCTCGCAGAACACGCTACCAAGGAACTCGCAGCTGGTGAATGGTGGGTGATTCTGCTTCTCATCTTGTTTAGTTTCTGCGCCGTCGGGACGTTTCTGGTCATCCCTCTTCATTATCAGAACAGAGATACAGGAGAATACTACCGGGTGAGTACTAATCCAACATGCCAATATCTTCCCTTTCTTTTATCTACGGATGCTATAACATACCAATCAAAATGTCACAGTTCAAGACAAAAAAGTTTTAATGAGAATAGAGAGTAGGGTATCACAAAACTGTTGTTGCTCAAAGACAGAATTATATCTCTGACTGTTTGCCTTTGCATTGCATATAAGACTAAGATCGGCCATTCACGCCACTGTTTTCTCTCACACTTTACTGCCATTGGACTCTCAAGAGACGTACAAGGTATAAAATGATCGTCACAAATCTACCCAATTTACGTTTTGTGTTAATTCATTAATAAAGGACAAAATATTATCTAAAGATCAAAGATCATAATGGTGAGAGCAACCAGTGACATGAATGGCCTGCCACAGTTAAGTACAACTTTAAGTCGATCTTAGTCTTTGTGAAACAACCCCCTTGTACTATACCCACAATGTATGACATGCAAAGGCAAACACCGATTTATATCCTCCAAGAGTCTAATACTGATTATTTATGTTTGTTGGCAACAAGTTTGTGGATTTTCATCGTGTAACCCCCCTGCAACGTCATTTAAAGATTAAGTTGATTATGGTCATGCGATTGCATTGTGAAAGAAACGGTGTGAATCGATAACAAAAAGTTGATCATGTAGCATATAAGTATCGGTGTGTGCAAGGTTCTGGAATCATCACTATGATAAGAAATGTGGCCCGGTCTTGGTAAAATAACAAGCACTGTACACAAACAGATAATATGGGACAACACAAAAATGTGGCATAAAATAACGCCTCATTTTACTTGCCATATTTAGAATATGAAGGCATTTGAAGAGCCATGCTTTTCAGGGAAAACAATTTCTCTGATGTTCATCCACACTTGCATAATTACTCTGAAAATACTCACAATTATTGTCCACCTCTCCCCGGAACTCAACTTTCTCTTTAAGATTCGTTGGCATCAAACGGAATATAATACGATAAAACAGGCCTCTGTTTAATAATGTCCGAATAACGCTGCCTTTAATTTTATCTTTCAGGTTCCTTGGGTTCCTCTCATTCCTTGGCTTAGCATTGTGTGTAATATAGTACTCATACTAAAACTCCGGGAAGTCACGTTGTTACGTTACCTGATCTGGCTGGTAGCCGGTAAGTCATTATTAGCTTACGTCATTGAATTAAACCGCGCCATTCCTGATAACGTAACTACACCTTTTTATATTTGGGACTTTTAGATTTACACGACGAGAATGTGGACCGCCACGTGTGACATCCTTTCAAGGTAATGTGGCGTCCTTTTACGGCCCAGTGCCTTAACACAACGTCACAGGCGGCAGTCCACGTTCTCGTCGTGTAAATATAAAAGTCCCTATTAGTGAGTTTTCGCACGGCGACGCAAGTGCTGACTACGGGTATTGAGCTCGCCACCCCGTACTAGCTCGACTCCCAAGCTACGGCTGAATACCGTCGTAGACTTGGATGCTACGCGGAAATTTTCGCTCTGAGTGCGACCCCCACTAAGATTAGCGTTGTAGAAGGCCGCGTCACCGGTTTGCGAAAACTCGCTATTGCCAGCACAGGCAGTCTCAACTGAATGCATGCCTGATTGATTTGTTGCGTAGCCTGTACCCTACTTGGGCATTAGTCGATTTAGCGTCTCAGTCAACTATCCCATCAGTTTATTACTTTCTTTTCCTTTTCATCATTTCTAATTTTGATTGTTTTTAGGTCTAACCATCTACTCGATATATGGATACCGGCACAGCAAACTTGGGAGGAGCCTGCAACGAAATGATAGTCCGGAAGAACATCGCTCTGACGAGGGAGCAGCTGGAAGTAGCGCCACCTACATGTCTGTGTATACCAATTAAACGTTCACGCACACACACACGCACACACACACAAACACACACACACACACACACACACGTACACAAACGCACAGATATTTACACAACAACCAGGACTGCACACTTACGTATTGGTAAATTAAAAAGAAGAAGCAATAATTAAGATACTCCGTACAAGAATGTAATATATTTACAGATTTTAGCCCTTAGGGCTTTATCAAGTAATGATTTTATTACAGTTTGAAATTGTTATGCGTCAATACACACACACGGATGCACACACGCATATAATATATATAATGAGACATTTATAATGCGTAACTTATCAACCAGATGGTGCTCAAGGCGCTTACGAAACAAATGAAATGTAATTCAATAAATATGCAATTTATTGAACATGGTTGTAGCATATCAAAGTCTGTGGGATATCAACTGCAGAACGTTGGGTTTATACGAAAATCTTTGACTCGACAACTATGTGCACAATTAATCCATGCATTAATCTCATATCGCTTAGATTTTTTATAATTTTATTCTTTTTTGACTCACCAAACAGCAGCAAGTCAGACTGCAATCCCTCCAAAATTCCAGTGCAAGTCTCCTTACTTTCACACCAAGAATGCCCTCTAATTCGCCTATATTATGCTCTCTTCACTGGCTACCTGTCCAGGGGAGGGTCCACTTCAAAATTATGTTACTTGTTTATCGGGCCCTCCATAGAATTTCGCCTCAATATATTGAAGATTCGCTACACCTCTATAATCCGACTCGTACCTTAAGATCTGGAAGTGATAATTTGCTGCAAATTCCCCGCATCCATCATTCATGGTGAGACAATGCTTTTTCGCATGCATTATGGAATAAGCTTCCCCAATCACTTCGCTGTATTGCAACATACTCCAACTTTAAAGATCGTCTTAATCTGTAACCCAGTATTTCCTTAAGTTGTATAAGTTCATTTTACTAAATCTATCATTAATATTGTATTTGTATATACATCTGAACTTAATTAGTAATCACCCTTTAGTCTCTTTGGCTGCCCATGTGGGGCCTGGTGGCCTCGGATGCTAGAGCTCCTGTGAATCATGTGCTGACTGGACTAGTCCCTGACATTGTCAGTGAACGGAGCAGCTGGAGGGTATCGGGCCACACCGGGCAGAGCTGAGGATTGAAATGGGTGATACAAATGTTGCAATTTTTTTTCAAATTTATGATGGTATAACTCTATTATCAAAAAAAAACATTTACTTTATTTGTAGAACTGTTGCTGAGCTAGCACCATGAGCGTCCCTGGACAGTGTGTGCGCTTTATAAATGTACTATTATCATTATTATTATTATTATTATTAACACAAATACTTTCAGAGAACAAAATGTATTTCGGAGAAACCTGTTGTCGTTAGAAATGTTTTTAGATGTTCCTTAAAGCGATCTACAGTAAAACTGTTTTTACAATGTTTCATGATATATATTCACACTATATAGAGAAGCAATGAATTTGAAGATACGAAAATTGTTTTTCTCGTGCAATTAATTTCTTACCACATATCTATGAGACCTCTTTCTACTGATATTTTGTATAAACTATTATTATTATTATCATTATTATTTATATAAATTCATATGTATATGCGTGTATACGTTATTCTTATTTTCTTTGTTCGAATCACTTCACAAAGACTAAATGTTTGAATCTAATATGTTGGTGATCTAATAAAAAGTCTTGGATTAAAAGGATGAAACTTTTCTTCTTTATCATTTTTCGACATCTTATGCCGACACGTTTATATATCTGCAGAGCTTAATTCCAAAACAATTCCAGCACAATTATTTATCTAAATGTTGAGAGCAATTATGAAAAAATGCACCTTCTTTTTCATAGACGCCTGTACAAAATCAGGTAAATATTTTCTGTTTTCTCTGAAGTTACCAAAATGGATTAAGCTCCTTTTGGAATTAAAATCTTTCCATTTATATCTATTATATATGTGTGTGTACGGGGAAGGGGCGGAGTTCACCCCAAACATCAGCTATCAATCTACCCGCTTGTTCTAGTAAAGTCAATTGACTTTCATGCATTTAATTTTTATCTCCTAACCGGAAAGCACAAGGCCGATACGTCAATCACAGCATAGACAAAAGCAGATGGTATTGACAGAAAATTAATTAACTCAATCTCGCAGACTGTTACTAACTGTATACCAACCATTCAGGCTTGCGAAAAAGGTTTAATGCTACATGTGTATACACATTCTGTTTCCACAGCAGCGCGTGTTTGTATTCCCAGGAAGATTCGAGGCGAGGTCGCCTCTTAATTTTGTTGCTATTTCTAACGCTATTACTACGACTAAAGCCACTACTATACTACACCTACAACTAGTACTACTACTTCTACTTCTACTTCTACTATTACTACTACTACGACTTCTACTACTACTACTACTACTACTACTACTACTACTACTACGACGACGACGACTTCTACTACTACTACTACTGCTACTACTACTTCTACTGTTACTACTACTACTACTACTACTATTACTACTACTAATACTTCTACTTCTACTATTACTACTACTACTACTACTACTACTACTACTACTACTACTACTTCTACTTCTACTTCACTACTACTACTATACTACTATACTACTTCTACTACTACTACTACTTCTACTTCTACTACTACTTTTACTACCGATGATGATGATAATGTTAAATATATAAATTCTTTCTCTCACCGTATCTACCTATTCTACTCTCTCTATTTCCCCCTTTCTCTCTCTCTCTTTATTTCGGTTTTTTGTTGTTGTTCATACCTTCTTTTAAAGTCGGTATTGTTTAATACCTTAATCGTTTGTCCATCCCTTCTATTTAATCTCTTCATTACTCTTCCTCCAATTTCTATGTTTTGTTTTAAATTGGTGTATACACAATTCCTCCCTCTTTTTCAATCTCTCTCTCTCTCTCTCTGTCTCTCTCAATCTATATTTTTCTACCCACCCTCTATATATTTCTTTACCTGTCTTTATTGTGCCACGTTAATGATGAGTGATGGTGCGAGAACGGATCTATTGTTGAATCAGTAAATATTAATGTTCGTGCCTTTCCATCTCCCGCGCCCCAGCCTTAGAAATATCAATAAATCAAATAACGCTGAAAAAATCAGTAATTCCTCCAATCAATATTCATAACGCATATAATCCGGTGGCGCGCTCCTGAATGTAAACATAGCCATTTATATCGTAATCGAAAAAGGATGGTGTAAAGTGATTAAATAAAACCCTCTGATCTTCCTCCCGGTTATAAAACCGTGAAACATCGAAGCATTTGACATCACAAGGATTGAGCCCTTCAACGTCTTATACAGCATTTCTCTCAGGACAGGTGAGTTTTTAACGATTTTTTTGCTATCATCCCTCTTTACAATAATTGTACGTAGTAGAGGTGGCGCTGTAAAGGTTTCGTGGAAACGTCGCTGGACTGTTTGTGGTTCGAGTCCCGCCACGGCATTAATGTCCTTTGCCAAGATATCAATATGCATTTGCCCCTCTCCAACCAGGTGTTAAATGGGTACCGGTAGGAAGGATTTCTTTGAATGGTGTGAGCTACGTAATCGACTGCCTAGCAGAGCTGGGATAATGTTGGAGCGCCGCCTTGAGCACCTTGCATGGTGGATATGTGCGCTACATAAAATCCAATATTGTATTATCATTATTGTTATATATAGTATCCAATAATAGTGACTACACCCGTTGATAACAAAAAGTGGAATATTACTATACAACTTTTTGTAGAGTGGTATTAAAAAAGCAAAATCATAAAGTGATGATAACGTTGACATTCTGTGATATAATATGTGTAGGTACAAAATATTAAAGCCATTCGAAAGGTATTATCGCATGAATGATAATTGTGGAAAAGTAGCAAAAAAGCGAGTATACACTATTGTAGTTTATATACTTGTTGAAATAAATGTCAGTTTTATCAATGCGAATAATTTATATTGTCACCATTATGATTAAAATCGCAAAATTAGTTGTAATCAGTGTAGAGATAACCAATATGTCTTTGATATTATCCTGCTCCTCTTATCAGCGTTGACTTTTAAAGGGGGTGTAGCATGGTAAATATTGGTTAACGCCATCTAAGACTTCTTTTGGACAACTGCACGAAAACGAAAGGACTTGATAAACAGTCAGCGTGCGCTAGCGTTCGCGAAACAGACCGAAGTTCTGCTTACGCTTCGGTTTCGCGTATTTTGCACACACGTTAATATTTCAGTCGCATCGTCCGTAGTCGTATTATACCCGAGGGGAGTAGTGAGCACTATCTTTTTTGGGGGGCCCTCGAAAATTTGAAAAATTGCACCCCACCCCCTTTTGAGCGCCAGGGGGGGGGGGCATCCCCCCCCCCAAAAAAAAGAGGAAAAGTTAACGTTAAAAAATGTAAAAATACACATTTTTTTCCCGGCGGCCCCCCACCCGGCACCCCCCGGCCTCCTGGATCGCGGCCACTGCTCCTCAGTATGCTATACTCCGTGTAATGAAATACATGTTTTGTTCCGATACAATTATGACAGAATGTATACCTTATCATTGCTGTAAGACCTAAATGATTTTAGTACTTTAGAATTTTAAACTTTTTGTAAGGGGATCTTTTGTTGGATACTGTATAGGAAAGGCTACTACGGCTATACATTTTTTAAATGTTCTAATCTATGTCAAGACATATTTTCAGGCCAGTATCACTCTTCTAAACTTAAATAGGAAAAATAAACGTGATTAGTTTAAAGACTTGAGTAATATAAAAGACGTATTTAAGATTCCTCCTGATTTGGTTCTATTATATCGATTTCCATTTCCCTCACAATTGTTATGATAATTTTTCTGTGTCTAGAGGCGCAGTGGAGTATTATGAATATAGTAGCTGCACTTTAATAAATGGACCTATTATTATTAATTTAAATTAGATACGTCACTATGCTTTGGGGAACAATCACCGTCGCGGTTGTGCTGTTGGTGAGCTGTGACATCGCCCTCTCTCGGACGGAAACGGTCAATAAAGAAGCGGCCTCGGCACTCTTCTCTTTGGTGGAATCGTGCGGAGCTTGTAAGATATATTAAAGTTTTATTGCGTTTTCGTATCAACACATCGATCAACTGGGTGGCGCATCTAAAAACAAGAAATGTGTACATGATATAGCACCCTTGCCAGGTTCATCAAAATGATTTAAAGCCACACTGTCCTACTTGTAGCTACTTGCTCGATCCCTCTTTATAAAACAATGCCTAATCGGCGACCAATGGTCCCCCATGATCCTCTTTTTCTTGTGTTAATTAAAAGCTGAGTTGATGAGATAACCACCTGTCCATACAGTGACCATGCAGGGTAGTCTAATCCCTCCTATAAACTAGTACGGATGAGCTTTAAAGAAGTGCTCTGGCGAGAGAGACTATATCATTAGCTCTTGAAACTGTTATTGTAGACATCAGGGCGTACGCAGGGGGGGGGGGGGGGGGGGGGGGGGGGGGGGGGGGGGGGGGGTTTTGGGGGTTCAAACCCCCCCCCCCCCCTTTGGTATTTTTATGTATGTAAACCCCCCCTAAAAAACCTAAACCCCCCCCACCCCCCCCCCCCCCTTTTTTTTTTATTTTTTTATTTTTTTTATTTTTTTTTTTTATTATTTAAAAAAAAAAAAAAAAAAAAAAAAAAAATTATACCCACGGCTAACCTAAATAAGGTGACCTTACCCCCCCCCCCCCCCAACGACAAAAAATGTCAAATTATGAAATTTCGAGACCAAAAAAAAAAAAAAAAATGTGTCCGCTTATACCCACGGCTAACCTAAATAAGGTGACCTACCCCCCCCCCCCCCCCCCCCAACGACAAAAAATGTCAAATTATGAAATTCGAGACCAAAAAAAAAAAAAAAAATGTTCCGCTTACCCCCCCCCCCCCCCCCCCCCCCCCCCCCCCCCCCCCCCCCCCCCCCCCCCCCCCACCCCCCCCACTGAGCGACTTTTCGGCTGGCTGAGTCGTTGCGATTTTTTTTGACCTCCAAAAAAAAAAAAAAAGTGTCCGCTTCCCCCTTACCCCCCCCCCCCCCCCCCCCCCCCCCCCCCCCCCCCCCCCACTGAGCGACTTTTCGGCCGGCGCGATTTTCAAATTTTCGGGAGCAAAATATTTTAAAACCCCCCCCCTTCAAAAAATCCTGCGTACGCCCCTGGTAGACATAATTATCATTACAAAATTGATTTGCATCATGGTCGATTCCTAATTTGACATATGAATGAAAATATGTTTTCTCCAGACAACTGCCCCGCTGACTGGCCGAACCGAATCCTAAGTCTAGGTCAGACGTCATGCTACATCTACTCACCCAAAAAGGCCTCATGGGCCAAGGCTAAGGAAGACTGCCAGGCTCTTGGAGGACATCTGGTCCAGTTCGACTCTGAGAGCGAGCTCGAAGTTGTCCGCAGCTTCCTGACTGCGCACTACAACTTCGCCGCCACGGGGTCGCTCTCGTGGATGTGGACCGGTCTGAATGACCAGGCGGAGGAAGGGACGTACCGCTGGGCCGATGTCGATGGTCAAGTCCTCGCCGATAACACCATGTGGGACCAGGACCAGCCTGACGATGACCATCGTTTGACCAACATGTGGAGCGGCGAAGACTGTGTCTTGTTCAATGGGGTCAAGATGAATGACGAAGTATGTGGTGATAGTTATCCCTACATCTGTGAACACAACCCATCCACATCACCTAACACTCCCGTATAAATCACGTGTGCAAATCATATATCAGCAATTATTCTCACACATCTTGTAATTTCACAAGATAACCGTTTTATCTGCCTTTCTATGTATCAGGTTCAATAGCGCACCTTTCATTTATCGCTTTAGTAATTTTGTACTATTGCCCGAAACAGCCCCTTTGCATTTTCGCTAAAAATGGCCCTTCCTGCTATCTTCCAATTTGGCCCCTTTTCACTATTGGCCCAAATATCTGATTTGAACTATTGTCTGAAGTAGCCCTTTGTCACTATCGCACATAAAAGCCCTTTCCCATGCACTGTTGGTCCAAATTAACCTTTTCCATATAATGCCTGAATAGTATTTTTGTGCTATTGCATGTCGAGTGTCGATGATGGAAAAGGTATGCTTCTTCGTGATGTATAATCTGATTATTTGGCTTTGTCATTTTGTCTTTAAACTAGTTGATTGAAAATCAAAGCTACGTTACCGACACTATTGCATGTTTCATCAAATAATTATATTAGGTTATTATATTAATTAGTGCTTCGATAAGACCAAATGTGTAGGACGATATCATTTTTGATGCCGAGATTTATGTTGAGAACTTCATAAAGCTCATACGATACAAAATGACAAATTACCTTAACAAATATGGAAAGTTATAATCATTGATATTGATGATGATGATAATAATAAACGATGATGATAATATGAATAATATGTGCATGTCATTTGTAATGTCGTTTACCGATTCATCATAAATTAAAATAAAACAGGCCAAAAGTGGAGTGAAGGATGGGAAAAGGAGAAAAGATAGCATGAAGAGGCGGGTGAGAAAAAATTGTTTGTAGAGGTGAATAACGGTAAGAAATGGAGAAATGGAAAAGATCAGCTAATTCCCCCCCCCCCCCCCTCTCTCTCTCTCTCTCTCTCTCTCTTATATATCTGACCAACTCAGAAAAAGTCGGAATAGAAATTGTTTATATGTTTTGTTCTCAACCAGACGCGCTCCATATCGCACAGCACGCCGTCCACCGAAACCAGAGGAAAATTTAGGCATAACGAGAAAGAGAGAAGAAAAAAAGGGGGAATAAGAAAGACACACATACAAACAAAGATATAGAGCGAGAGGGGCGGGGGGCAGGGGGGGGGGGGTGGTAGGACAGATTGAATGTTGGGGAAAAAGAACGAAACAAAAAAACGAATGAAAGTTATATACAAAGAGAAAGCATGAAGGAGAGGTATGGAGGGAGGGAGTATGTGACAGAAGAGAAAATTGAGTGTTAGGCAGACATTTTTATTGGCAAAGAGAAAATTGAGAGGGTGAGAAGGATAAAGTAAGAGAAGTAGAGAGTGGGGTAGAGAGAGATCAAACAATCAGAGGCGGTGCTCGGGGGGGGGGGCAGGGGGCTCAGTGCCCCTAAGTTTTTCAAGTACCCCAAAATTGCCCATTTGGACATAAGAAAAGTGCCTCTTTTACTTTGACAAGTGCCCCTATTAATTTTTAAAAGTACCCCTTTCCCTTTCCACCTCTAATATTAAGTGCCCCTTTTATGTTGACAGGTACCACTTTTCCTTTAACAAGTTCCAATTTTCCTTTGCAATGAGTGTCCATTTTCCATGCTAATAAGTGCCTTTTTTAATCTCTAGTAAGTTCCCCTTTTGAGGTACAAGAAGCGCCCCTTTTCATTGTTGATAAGTGCCCCCTTCGACTCTGATAATCGCCCAATTCAAATCTGAGAGGTTCCCCTTTTACTTTGACAAGTTCCCCTTTTCCTTTGTAAAAAGTTTCCCTTATATTTTCACATGTGCCCCTTTCCTTTTAATAAGTGTCCCTTTTCCTTATGATAAGTACCCTCATTTAAAAAAGAGCCCCTTTCCCTTCTTATAAATGCCCCTTTTCATCTCTTGTAAATGACCCTTTTCAACTCTGAGAGATACTCGTTTTACTTTGACAAGTGCCCCTTCCCCTTCTGATAAGTGCTCTTTTCATCTATTATAAATGCCTATTTTATGTTGACACATCCCCTTTTTTCTTCTCTGATAATTGCTTCTTTTACTTTTTGCCCTTCCCATTCTCATACTTACCCCTTGTCATCTTTGATAAGTGCCCCGTTTAATTTAACATGTGCCTCTTTTTCTTTTTAGAGCCCCTTCCCCCTATTCATAAAAGCACCCTTTCACCTCCGATAAATGCCCCTATTAAAATCTGACCGGTGCCCCTTTTCTTTCAACAAATGCACATTTCCCCTTATCATTAGTGCCCCTTTTCATTCTTATAAGTGCCTCTTTACATGCACGGTTTCAGATGCGATAAAATGTCCCTTTTCACTTCTTATGAACGCCCCTATCAAAATCTGATGGGTGCCTCTTTTCCGTCGACAAATGCCCATTTCCCATTCTCATAAAATCCCTTTTCATCCCTGGTGCGTGCCTCTTTTTGTTGGTGTAAGAAGTGCCCCATTTTCACCTCTGATAATTAGTCTTCGTAATTTGACACGTGCTCCTTTTCTTTTTAATAAGCGTATTAACCCTTTCGATAAGTGTCCCCTTTTCCTCTCATATTTAACGTGCCCCTAATTTTAAGCGACTGAGAGCAATTTTACGCTCGCTCGTAGTTAGAGATATTTTAATTATGTAACTTATCAAAGTTCTTTTCAGTCTTCCGTTTTGAGAATGTGCTTGTAACCCCAAGGCACCAGGATTGGTTTTTTTTTTTTCTTTATAGGATGTAATTTTTCGTAATGCGACGACACAAATCTTTTAAGTTTTCCTCGCTCTCAAATGAATTTTCAGACCATCACACCCAACCGCAGAATATGATGCTTAAGCAATATCTTATATAATGTATGAAGAGAAAACAAATATTGAAAATCATCCCTTAATGTAATCACAGTATAGGGGTATATACCAATGTCTACAAAATTGTATATTTTTGCTTTGGGATTTCTCTTTGAAGGTGCCCTTTTTTCCAGAAGGTGCCCTTATTTGTTGGTGCCCCCCCCACACTTTGGAAGTCGCTCCGCCGCCTCTGCAAACAATTATATTGAGAAAGAGAGAGAGAGAGAGAGAGAGAGAGAGAGAGAGAGGGGGGGGGTAGAGAGGAGTTATATACAGCAACATAACTGGAGAGAGAGAGAGAGAGAGAGAGAGAGAGAGAGAGAGAGAGAGAGATGGGGGGGGGGGGGGGGGGGGTCGTCCTGTTCGGAATGTTATGATGATCGTGGAAGTAGAGAATGTTATGGAAGAGTGTTCAATAGTGACTTGCCTTTAGAGGAAATTGCAAGGGGAAAAGATAATTTAGGGCTCCTCGGATGCGAAGAGATATACACAGTCATAATGATTCATTACGATTCGCCCGATGAATCATTTGTTTTAAATTACTTAAAGGAATGTTGACGAGGCACTTATTAGAAAGAAAAGGGGGCCTGTATCTGAAATAAAAGAGGGCACTTGTTGGGGGTACTTCAACGAGGGCCGCGGTGACTCAGTGCCCCCCCCCCCGAGATAGTGCTGCCTCTCAGTGATGTAGTTGGCATAGTAGTATAGTAGTATACAGTATATTAAGTATAGGATAGTAGTATTCATTACTATTACAATCAGCACCATATCATTGTTGTATAGGTCCGTCCGTCCTAACTATATAAAGCTCACCCTGTCGATCATATTTCCCCAAATAGTTTTTAGTTTTTAACTGTTTATAATGTTATACTAAAAAATAAGAATTTCTGTCTACCCCGCTGATTTGTAAATCAACGAAAAAAGGAAAGAAAGAAGAACAACAATTAAACAAACAACCAGACAATGACAAATACAATAACATTAACAACAAACGATTGCCTACGTCACAAATCTAAAGGCAATTGCATCAGCCGAGCCATGGCTTACCATAGTTTAGTACACGTCACATAATGTACTATTGATTATGTATTGTGCCAAAAATAGCAATGTATTTGTTTTCCATTTACGTTGAATCTCCTTGCAGCGTACCATATTAAACCAAGGTTGACGTATTTCGGCGTAGACTATTTTGGGTTTGTGAAACAAAAATCATTATTCAGAGATCCTTTTGGAATTAAAGTGTGCAAGACTAATGAATTCTAGGGTAAAGTGAAACTTCCCAAGTTAATTATCCATTTCTTGAAAGCTGAAATCATCTAGAAAGCGAAGCGTTATCTCATTCGGACTCCGAGAAAGGAGCATTTTTGATTTACAAACATTAATGTTAAAACACTGCAGAGATTTCAGTAGACGGGACAACAATGAAGGCGATTTTGGTTGTACTTGTAGCTTCTGTGCTTAACTTAACGGAAGCAGCATTCGGGTTTGGTAAGTCAGAAATAATTTGTTAATGGTATTATAAAGTTAAGGTAGCTGTGTTGTTAATAATATAACGAATATTCATGGTTTATGATGTTCATCTGATGATTTGTTTGCAATCAGCATGATCAGGAACCAAAACAAATTAAAAGTCAAAAGAGTAAACAATTAAAAATTAAATAGGCCTAGATTCTAGGCCTAAATAGTTCTAGATCTAGGCCTAGGTAAGGGGTTGCTGGTGGGCTTACTATGATGAAGGCATAGCATAGACAGAAATAACTGTGGATAATTCTTTAATACAATTGACATAGATCTAGTCTATGTGAACCTTCAGCCTCAGGGCAGCGTTTCTCGAAACCGTCATAACTACAAGTTCACCGACATCCCATTGAAACGCGTGTTAAACTTAATACATAGGGCCTACACGTGTTTCAATGGGATGTCGGTGAACTTGTAGTTATGACGGTTTCGAGAAACGCTGGCCAGATGTACAAGTCTAGGCGGTCAGTAGTCTACAGCAGCATGCAGCGGAGCCAGATTAAGGTCTAGGCCTAGACAGAAATAACCGTCTTATTTGGGTCATTTCTTTAATAAAACTGGCATTTGTTGACATTCCCCAATACAGATGGTAACCCAGAGATCTCGTACCGTGGGGGTAGCTAGAGCCAGCGATGTACAACTTTTCGTACATGACATTTTCTCCCCAATTTTCTTTATTTAG